GATTGTGCTTTTTTCATCAGCGGATCCGGATCGTCATAAATCAATAAAATCAAATCATAAGTTCATAATAGCGTCCTAAAAAACCCCTAAGTCCCTAACGAGTAACGACGAGGCCACGACCGCCGACCTAAGCCAGCCGATCCCAATCAAACCACGAGGCCACGACCGTCGATCCATCCTCCTCCGTTCATCGTCGTTGGTCGAAGCCAGCCCTAGTCGAACCCCATCGAAGCGAGCAGACAGCAGCCCAAATCCAGGCTCTGTTCCCGGCAAGTTCCTCCCATCGTCGCTGTCCGTTGAACTCCGTGAGACCGCCGCCGTCCCTTCTCCGGCTCTTCGTCAACGTTAGAGGTAATCTTCTCCGGCTCACCGTCCCTTCTCCGCTGTCTGTACTGCCTGCCTGTAAAATAGACATGTGACTATGTGAGTTGTCTCGTCCAGCCGTCCAGGTCCAGCAGATAACCAATTATTTATAGAATTATAGTTTAGACTTTAGAATTAGAGGTAACTGTGTGGGCTGTGGCTTTGTAGCCTTTGACTTTGTGGACTGGAAATGATGGCATGTGGCGTTGCGTTGGTGAATGGTGATGATTGATGAAATTGACTAATTGAGGAATGGACGTGGTTGGGGTTGGGTGAAGACGTGAAGTCGTGATTCTCGTGGTCATGACTCGTGAAGCAAATGGGGTATGCCGTATGTGACAGCCGACAGGGAGACATGGACATGATGTACAGGTGGCACAGGGACAGGCGGGCTTCTTGAGCAGCACCAGGTAGGGACAGGCGGACAGTCCAGGTGGCAGGGACAGGCGGGCTTCTTGATCAGCAGCACTGTCTGTCGGTAATTCGGGACTCCCGTTCCCTTACCGATACCGTACCGAAACGGTAGGCGGTATACCGGGTGGAAAACGGTAGCGGCATCCGGCGGGTGGTTTGGCATTTCCGGTTTTACCGAAACCTGTGAAACGGTAAACCGGTTACCGTACCGTTTAGCAGCCCTAGTCGAGATTATTGATTCTGCTTTGATCCTATGAGAGCGAATACCTGATTAGGTCAATAGAGCATTATAGATTGATAGTATTGGATGAACTGCTTTAGTCGAGGGTTGATTCACTGCTTTGTATCGATTGAGAACCTCTTTCGATAGAGGGAGTCTAGTTCAGAACGCCTTGATCGGTTGTTCTAGAGAAGGATACGTCCCTCTAGGCAATTGACTCAAGAGGGCCTTGTTCCTTTAGTCGAGACTCAAGGTCTAGTTAAGGATTCTCTGCATTGTCAATGAAAGTGAAACAAGTTAGAGATCATCAATCGTTAATCTGGCTAGTGGCTAGGGGGAATCATACCTAAGTGAGTTCCCAACCTGTAATTAGATTAACTTTAACTGTAGTTTGTTAGAGTAGTTTTAGTTTTTCCATCTTAATCTGGTTTGCTAGATAATGAACTGAAGCTGAGTAATAATAACTCTAGAGACCTGTGGATTCGATATTTATTACTTGAGCCACTATACTACAGTCCCTTTCATTGGTTACACTTGGCCATTGTTAGGAGTTGTGTCATAGCGAGTCACCCGTCATCGGACCGTGAGAGATACACCGCAGCAGAATGGCGTTGCAGAAAGGATGAACCAGACATTGTTGGAGAGAGCACGGTGCATGCTCTCTAATGATGGACTAGAGAGAAGATTCTGGGCAGAAGCAGTGAACATGGCGTGCTTTTTGATCAACCGTGGACCTCACACAGGTATCGAGTTGAAGACTCCTTATGAGGTGTGGTACGGTAAGCCTGCTGATTACTCTTCACTGAAAGTTTTTGGGTGTCCTGTTTATTATCATGTGCATGAGGGTAAACTGAACCCAAGGGCAAAGAAGGGTGTATTTGTGGGTTACGGAGATGGAGTTAAAGGATTTCGAGTCTGGTCACCTTGTGAGCATCGAGTTATACTCAGTAGAAATGTGATATTTGATGAGAAGTCTATATTTAACCCCATGTTGAAGGTAGCAGGAATGTTGATAAACAGGTGGAGCAGCAAACTCTCAAAGAGAGTGAGTTTGAGCACCAAGGTGGAGAAGATCAACATGATGAGGATGTCTCTGCAGAGCCAGAAACTTCAGAGTCCAGTGTACGAGCTCAACAATCTATTGCTTCCGGTAGACCGAAGAGAGCGACTGCAGGAGTACCTCCACAGAGGTATGGCTTCGAGGACATGGTGGCGTATTCATTTCAGGTTGCTGAAGAAGTGGATGCAGGTGAGCCACAGTCCTATAGAGAAGAAGTTTCGGGTGGTGAAGCTGATTAGTGGCTTGCCGCAATGGGAGATGAGATGGAATCCCATGACAGGAATCAGACTTTGGAGCTAGTCAAACGACCACAGGGAAAGAAGATTGTTACAAACAAGTGGATCTACAAGAAGAAGAAAGGAATCACTTCTAAAGAGGGCATAAAATTTAAAGCTCGGGTGGTTGCACGAGGTTTCTCGCAGAGGGAAGGAGTTAACTTACAAGAGATTTGACAGTTACATGCTTGAGCTGGGCTACAACATATGTCCATATGATTGTTGTGTGTATCACAACAAGGTGGAGGATGGTTTGATGATCTATCTTATTCTGTATGTGGATGATATGCTCATAGATGCGAGGTCGAAGTCTGATATCCAGAAGTTGAAGGGGCTTCTCAATGCTGAGTTTGAGATGAAGGATTTGGGAGCTGCTCAGAAGATCTTGGGTATCGAGATTTACAGGGATAGGTCGAAGAAGAAGTTTTTCTTGTCACAGAAGAGCTACATCCAGAAGATACTGTCGAGGTTTGACATGTCTTCAGCAAAGCCCTTAAATACTCCTAGTGCTTCAAATGTTCATCTATCCTCAGCTTATGCACCGCAGTCAGAGGCTGAGAAGGAGTACATGTCGAGAGTCTCATATGCTAGTGCAGTAGGTAGCTTGATGTACGCTATGGTATGCACTAGACCTGATCTTGCACATGTTGTTAGTGTTGTCAGCAGGTTCATGATACAACCTGGAAAGGAGCATTGGCAGGCTGTGAAGAGGATCTTCCGGTACCTTAAGGGTACACCTGATGTGGGGATTAGCTTCGGAAGTGATACAGAGTGCTTGGTGTCTGGGTATTCTGACTCAGACTATGCTGGAGATGATGACACGAGGAGATCGATGACCAGTTATGTATTCACTCTTGGGAGTTCTGTAGTGAGCTGGAAGGCAACTTTGCAGTCGGCGGTGACATTGTCTACTACTAAGGCAGAGTATATGGCGTTGACAGAAACTGCTAAGGAGGGAATATGGTTGAAGGGACTGGTTGGTGATCTGGGTCTACATCATGATCAAGCAGTGGTGTATTGCGATAGTTTGAGTGCAATATGCTTGGCCAAGGATCAAGTCTACCATGAGAGGACTAAGCACATCGACGTGAGGTATCATTTCTTGAGGACAGAGAAGAGGATTAAGGTGAAGAAGGTTGGCACCGCAAATAATCCTGCTGATATGTTCACGAAGCCGGTTCCACATGGCAAGTTCCAACACTGCTTGGACTTGCTGAATGTCTTGAGTGGGTGACTCCGCTCTGCGGGGCATTGATGGCGGGAGAGAGAGAGAAGGAGCAGAGTACATCAGAGATTTCAGAGGAAGAGGATTCAAGTCAAGGTGGAGATTTGTTGATGTGACTTGAATCGGACTATCAGCCGCTACGACTGGTAGTCGGGGGTCTCGCTAACCGGTCAGCGAGTGGGGTCCAGGGGAAATGCCCCCAGCCCACGGTGTATGGGCTCAATATGATTTGGGTTCGGGTTCTGGGCCTGGTATGTAACCGTTTCCTTTGCCAGATTGGATTAGGTTTAGACCCACATGGAGAAGTACTATAAATACTTCTCATACTCCTCTGTAATCTGTAATCTCCTCGATATAGTGAAAATGGCTCTCTCTCTCGCCCGTGGACGTAGCTAACACACATCGTGTTAGTGAACCACGTAAATCGTGTGTCGTGTTTTCGATTCTCGCTTTCGTATTATTGCTTTATCGATTCCGGCGATTTCCCTATCCGTAGCAGCGCGTTTATAACAGGATCCCGTTGGGTTGCGGCTCCATTTGTGCTTGGGATATCGCTATGTCGCCTTTCAAGCATTCTTTTTTACCTGCGCCACCCGATTGGCCAATGAGTAGCCTTCGAGCAATACTTACTAGATCGGCATTGGCGGCCTCGACATGAAACATGGTAGAGGATCAACATGGCGGTGAGAAACAGGTCTAATCCTCTGATTATCATCATGATTAAAGCTATAGAGTTTCTCTAATCAAGTGATTATGGTGATTAAGAGACTGTTGAAAAGAAGGATAAATAGATTGGTGCACTAATATTTGTAGATTAGATCGCATGTGGGGGGTTAACATATGGTGATTTGGTTGTTACTTGTTGGTGCCCTTTTATGGGTTAAGAGTGATTCCAGGGGTTTCATATGGTGTGGATGAATTGAAATTTGAAGTCTTATCTGGTGAACTGGTAGTTTTGAACATTTCCTTTTGGGATAAGGTGGTCTGAGTTTGATTTTAACTAAAATTGTTGGATGTTTTTTGATCGGATGATTTTCGCAGTGCTTTGTTGTAAGATTTCAGCTCGTTGACGTATGAGAAGTGTTGATTTGTTATCAAATTAAGGAATTCAGTAAGAGTTGATTTGTTGTCAAAATTAGGGAATTCAACAAGATGCTTGTGTTCAAACCTTGATAAAAGTTGTCTAACAAAAGATAAGGAGTTGATTTATTGTCAAACGAAGGGATTTAAGAATGGTTGATTTGTCACTAAACTATAAAACTCAACAAAATACTTATAGTAGAAGTGCTCCTTATATTATATGTCCAAAAATCAAATGAAGTTTTTCAATAAAACAAAGATAATTGTTAAGTCAGCATGCTAATAGAGTCCGTTTAGCTTGGGTCGTTTGGATTGAGTATTTGACAAACTTGTTGCTTGGGGCCAATTACCACACAAATACCACATAATATAAAACCTGTTATTTGGTATGTGATATTTGGTCTCAAACTTGTTATTTGGCAAATACCTGCCCCCTTCCAAGCATTTGGCAAACAACACTTTTTGGGGTCGTTTGGATTGAGTATTTGGGGGTGTTATTTGGGGTCAAATAACACAAAATCTGTTATTTGACCCCAAATAACATGTTTGGCTGACAAAAAGTGGGATGTGTTATTTGGATGTAGTGTTTTGCCAAATAACAGGTTTGAGACCAAATAATACAAAGGGTCGTTTGGATTGAGTATTTGACAAACTTGTTGTTTGGGGCCAATTACCACACAAATACCACATAATATAAAATCTGTTATTTGGTATGTGATATTTGGTCTCAAACTTGTTGTTTGGCAAATACCTGCCCCCTCCCAAGTATTTGGCAAACAACACTTTTTGTGTTATTTGGTCTCAAACCTGTTATTTGGCAAAACACTACATCCAAATAACACATCCCACTTTTTGTCAGCCAAACATGTTATTTGGGGTCAAATAACAGATTTTGTGTTATTTGACCCCAAATAACACCCCCAAATACTCAATCCAAACGACCCCTTAAGACACAATAGCAATTGGTGACACATATTAATAGTCTTATTTGTTGTAATTCAATTAAACGAGTAAGTGATAGATAGTTTGGATCTAATTTGTCCACTTTCGACATTATCCTATTGTTTTCAGATATGCCACGAGTCTTCCTCCATCTTTTATTATCTTGGCGTTTATAGATATGACATGATATGACATGATAGTAGGCCACATAGTGAAAGATTTGAGTTGTTCACATTTTCTGTGAAGCTAACTACTTAGCAGTTGAGCTAGCTCATTTAAAGTCGGGATTTAGATCATGAGGTGACGTTGCTTTGCAACTTTTCATCAATATGTAATATGGTTTGTATGCTTGTTAATCACAAGTCCACTAGCACCCAAAGACTAGGGGTGGAGTTTCGGTTAGTTCGGTTATAACTAGGGATGGCAATTTACCCACCCATGGGTAATTTTGCCCAAACCCAAGTAGACCCATTTATTATGGGTAGGGTTTGGGTGATGTGTGTATGGGTTTGGGGTTTGTATATGAGTTTGGGTTAGATATGGATATTATCTAAATGGGTATGGGTTGGATATGGATATCCATTTACTTGAGGGTGTTTTAACTACACATGCAAAAATTGGACCTATTTGTAAAACTTGAAAAGTTTAGGTACCAAAATGTAAGACCAAAAAAATTTAGGTACCAAAACGTAATTTTCCATAGATATTTTGAGGACTTATATGCAAAAAAATTAAATTTAGGTACTAAATATGCATATCTATTAAATTTAGGTACCAAACTGTAATTTGTATTTGGGCATGGGTACAAACCCAAATCCATTTGTTATAAACCCAACCCAACCCAAAGTAAATGGGTATGGGTACAAACCCATCAAACTTTACCCATATTCATATCTTTGGATTTCATACCCAACCCAATTGGGTTGGATAGTAAAATACCCATGGGTATGGGCAAAATTGCCATCCCTAGTTATAACCGGCAAGCGATCGATCGGTTATCTGTTAACCGAACAACCAGGGACTCCTATTGAACACCGACAGAAATAGAGATTTAGGCTTCGGTTATCTCGGTTTTCGGTTAACCGAACCACCTCCAAGATAAAAAAACCATCTCGTCCAACCTTCGAAAATCGACCGAATTTCGCTTATCTTGGTTTTCGATTAGAGAATAACCGGCCGGTTAACCGATAACTGATAACTAAAACTCCACCCCTACCAAAGAACAACCAAAAGGGCATTCTTGTAATCCCCGGTAAAAAATAAGCCTACTATAAGTACTCCGGACCGCCGGCGAGAAAAAACGTCGACGATCAATTAATTCAAAGAATGAGGCTTTGCTCTCTGAGAAAATGGAAAGGGTTCCCCTTTTTCCACCCTAACTCTCTGAACGGCTGCGGAGCCGATGATTTCTCCGACCGTCACTCTGGGAAGTGGAAACAAACAAACCCATTGCATATTGTGATGATCTCTTCCTTCCGCCGTCATCGCCGTCACAACCACCACCACCAGAACCTTAACATCCAGCTTCGATTGATTTCTCATCTTTTGAAGCTGTGTTCTCTCTTCTTCGCCGGAACAGCGATGAAACATGAGCGCGCCGCTCCTTCTTCTCCTCTTCGGTAAATGGGGCTGTGACGAGATCTCCGGCGAGGGTTTCGGGGTCCTACGGCGGTTTTCCTGGCGGGGCGATTTCAGTAGCATGTTAGCTAACTCGATTTCGCAGCCTAAACACGGCTGCAGGGATTCCCTCTCTCACTCTGTCACCGGATCTGAGCCCTTCCTTCCTCCGACTCTTTGTTGTTTCTACTGCATTTACAGAATGAAGTCACTTCAAAGCTGGATTCTTTTTTACGCTGTTTACTTCTTTAATTCCACCATGTGCTAATATTAAACTATATCTTGTTCGTGTAGAAATTCTCCAGCATTGAAAATGACCAGAGAATATAAAATGCTTGTTTGGGTCAAGACAAGATCATCGAGATCCCATCTTGCAGCTGCTGTTTAAGAATTCAACTTCAAATGGTGTGAAAAGTTCAATGCTTTCCCCATTCACTCTCACGAAGACCAAATCGGCTCTTTCTTTAATGTTGATGTCCTCCTGAAGAAATGGCAGAAACCATTTTGATCCCCGTTGCAAAAGAAATCCTTGGGAAGCTAGGCAGCTTGGCTTTGGACCAGATCGCACTCGCATGGTCTCTCAGAAACGAGCTGGAGAAACTCAAGGGCACTGTCTCTACCATCCAGGCTGTGCTCCGTGATGCTGAAGAGAAGCAGGGCCACAATCCCCAAGTCAAACTTTGGCTCGAGAAGCTCTCGGATGTGATGTATGATGCTGATGACTTGCTCGATGATTTTTCCACTGAGACTCGTCGGGAGAGGGCTGCACGAGCAGACACTACGACGACGACTTGTTGGACTGTGGTATGTTTCATTGTCTCTTTTCCGAAGCGATTCTTGTATATGAGAACGAGATGGCTCACGCCATCAGGGCGATTCGAGAGAAACTCGATGATATCAAGAATGACAGGGAGTTCCACTTGGAGGAGCTTGCTGAGGAGCAAGCTGTCCCTTTGGAGACGGACCCATGCCCACCGATGATTGTTGTTGGGAGAGAAGCTGATAGAGCTGAAATCGTTCGGCATCTAGTGCACAGTGATGGTGAAGAAGCTAATGTCTCTGTGGTCCCAATTGTTGGGATGGGCGGATTGGGGAAGACTACTGTTGCTCAGCTCGTGTTCGACGACGAGGCAGTTAAGGCATGCTTCGGAGTAAGAGTTTGGGTCTATGTCTCGCAGAGCTTTGATGTCAAAGGGATTCTTGAAAAAATGTTGCAATACATGACTGGTGAGAGCCAAGCAGGTCTTCAGTTGGCTGTTCTGCAGGAGAAGCTTCGTGAGAAGATGAGAGCCAAAAGGTTTTTGGTTGTAATGGATGATGTCTGGGAGGAGAATGCTAGAGGCTGGGAAGACTTGGCAAAGTATTCGATGGTTGGTGCCATTGGGAGCAAGGTATTGGTGACCACTCGATCCAGTAAAGTGGCTGAGGTTGGTAGTGAGATCATGAAGTCTGAAACAGGTGGCACAATGTTGATGCCGTACTACTTGGGAGGCTTGTCGCCAGACGAGTCTTGGGATTTGCTGGTGAGAAAGGCTCTTCATGGAGAAGTTCAGCAGAGCCTGGATGTTGAGAGAACCGGGAGAGAAATACTGAAGAAATGTTGTGGAGTTCCTCTTGCTATAAGCACAATTGCTGGTCTGTTGAGGTCGAAAGATCCGAAAACTGACTGGCCGTTGTTTCTAGATGACGAACTCTCGAACATATCTGAAGGGGAAAACCATATCATGTCAACCCTTCGTTTAAGTTTCAACCATCTTCCTACAAAGCTTAAGCACTGTTTTTCTTATTGCAAACTGTTTAAGAAGGGTGATGCCCTTGATGTTCAAAGGCTGGTACACCTTTGGATGGCACAAGGGCACGTTGAGTCAGAAGATGAGTGATTGGATTGTTTCAAGACGCTGTGCTGGAGGTCATTTTTCCAAGAAGTGAAGGTGAACCAGTGGGATAATACGTTGGAATATAGAACGCATGATCTGATGTACGATTTAGCTGATTCTATAGTGGGGCAAAAGATCGTACGCGGTTTTAGTTCAAGTATTCTACAAAGAGTTTCTCCAAAAACTCGTCATATGGCAGTGCTATATGATCATTCCTTCTATGATGATGATGGTGATGATCAGTGGGGGGATGTAAGCAAGGTACGAACACTTATAGGTTATGGTAGTTTTTTGAGAGAAGATTGTCAGCGAACCCTCCAAAACTTCAAACGCTTACGAGCATTACAAATGGATAAAGCTTTACCGGTTGGAAATCCTTGGAAAGAACTGCAAGCTCTCGGTGACTTGAAGCATTTAAGATTTCTTGGTCTCAGCTCATGGGGAATAAAAAGAGTTCCGAACTCAATCACCAAGTTGATCAATCTGCAAGTACTTGATCTCTCTGGTTGCCACTACATAGAGGAGCTACCAAGGGATGTCAGAAAGCTAGTCGATCTGAAGCATATCTACCTGCATTGGAATGTGAAATTGACACACATGCCGAAAGGGATTGGGGAGTTAACAGCCCTTCAAACCTTACCTGTTTTTGCAGTGGGACATAAAGGAGATGAAATTACCGCAAATGGAGCAGCTGGGTTGGATGAGCTGAGAGGTTTGAATTTGTTGCGCGGAGAGTTGAAGATTACAAACTTGTTGCACGCCAAGCCTGTGAGTTCTTATGTCTTAAAGAACAAGCTTTTTCTTCAATCCTTAGTTTTAGAATGGAGATATGACGATGATGATGATGCTACTCACTCTGCCAAAGATGAAGAAGAGGTTCTCGAAATGCTCGGCCCCCATCCCCATCTTACGGAACTAGAAATTTGCAAGTATACAGGAGTGATTCTCCCCAACTGGCTGTCTACAATCACCAATCTCGTTGAGCTTACAATACGCCATTGCAGAGAATGTGAGTACCTCCCACCATTGCATCAACTTCCATCTCTAAAGAAGCTCAGCATCAGATGGTGCGAAAAACTTAAGGGCATTAGAGACGAAGACCAGTACCAATATGAGCAGCCGGGGACTAGTGTTAGTGATGCTGATGCTGAAGACAACGAGGATTGTCCCCATTTCCCTACTCTTTCTAGCTTGAAAATCAGCAGTTGTCCCAGCTTGTGTCGGATGCCCCTCTTCCCAACCATTGAAGCTGAGCTGGAGCTGCATCAAAGCAGTGCACGCCCACTAATTCGAACGATGATGATGAAATCGTCTCGTCTTAGTCGCCCACCACTCTCTCAGGTGTCGAGTTTGCAACTTGATCAGATTGATGACTTGGAATATCTTCCGAAGGAAGGCCTCCGCAACCTCACTTCGCTTCAGGTACTGGAGATCTCGAACTGTCCTCGACTAGCCAATCTGTCCTCCCTCTGCAACCTCACTTCGCTTCAGGTGCTGGTGATCAGGAATTGTCCAAGATTAGCCACTCTGCCTCCTGCTAACCGCCTAACTAGTCTGGAGAATCTCTCCATTAAAGGGTGCCCCATGTTGAAAGAAAGGTGCAGAGAAGGGGAAGATGACGAGTGGCCCAGCATTATCGACATCCCATCCCCATCCCCAGAAATCAGATATCGGAGATCCCCTCTGGGATTTTAGTTGTGCAGTTTCCATGACGATAGTGTTGTAGCTTTCTTTTTTCTTGTCCCTCTGTAAATTTTCCAAGCTATTGGACTGTCAATCTAGTTATGCTCCTAACAAGGGCTTTTGTTAGGAGATGCTAACAGGGGCGGATGGGCCTCCACGTCGCCAAGGCTTCATCCATTGGTGGAGGAGAGAACGCGTCAGAACGTGTGGGAATAGAGCCGATTTCATCGGCTGGGCAAAGCCCACAGCGGCTTGCGGGGCCCGTCGGGCCCACTAATTCAAAAACCCAAAAAAAAAAATACCCTAAACCTACGCCTTTTCAGTTCTCCGCCCATTTGGTTTTCTCCTGCCTCTCTCTCCCTTTCTCTCTCCCTTTCCTCTCCCTTTCCTCCTCTCCCAAACGCAGACGAACGGCCGCGCGGTGCAGCAAACTCGGCGGCCACGAACTCGGCGGCAGCGATCTCGGCGGCTGCGAAGTTGGCGGCAGAGATCTCGGCGGCCACGAAGAAGCAGCAAACTCGGCGTTCTCGGCGGCGGCGACGAAGCAGCGAAGTCGGAGTTCTGAAGTTGTAGATCTCGGCGGCGGCGACCTTACAGCGAACTCGGAGATCTCGGCGGCGGCGACCTTGCTGCGAACTCGGCGGCGGCGATCTCGGCGGCAGCGATCTTGTCAGCGGCGACGAAACAGCGATCTCGGCGGCGGCGCTTTGCAGGGAACTCGGGTTCTTGATCAAGTAAGGTTTGAAGCATAGTTTTGTGGATATTAGTTTTCGATTGGACAGATTTGAGTTAGGGTTGCATGGTTGCTTTCTTCTGTGGATTTTATTTCTGGGTTTTGTGGAATGGCTTTCTGTTTGTGTCGATATTTAGTTCTATTTGTGTCGATATTTAGTTCTGTTTGTGCCGATATTAGTTTTGTTCGTGTCGATATTAGTTCGGTTTGTGCCGATATTAGTTCTGTTTGTATTGATATTGGTTTTGTTCGAGCATGATATCAGTTTTCACTTTCCTGGATAGTTGTTTTATTGGATTTGGGTATTTGTCTTTTTACTAGATCTGGGTTTTTCTTTTTCTGCGTTTTTTTAAGTTAAGGTTTCATGGATTTTACTAGATCTGGGTTTTTCTTTTTCTGCGTTTTTTTGTATGAGTTTGATGGATTTGTTTTCTGGTAACTTAGATTTGACTGGATTTGGGTTGCTTTCTTTTGTGGATTATGTGGATATGTTTTCTGGGTTTGTGGATGTGACTGGATTTGGGTCTGGGTTGCTTTGTTTATGGATTTGATTGGATCTGGGTTGCTTTGTTTTCTGGGTTTTGTGGATATGTTTTGTGTGCATACCGATATTAGTTTTGTTCGGGCAGGATATCAGTTTTTAATTGCCTAGATAGTAGTTTGATATATCTGGATATTCTTACATTGATATTGTTTTTGGTTGACCATGATATCATTTGTGAATTGCCTAGATAGTTGTTTGATATATTTGGATTATGCGGTTATGTTTTATGGGTTTGTGGATGTGACTGGATCTGGGTCTGGGTTGCTTTGTTTGTGGATTTTGTGGATTTGATTGGATCTGGGTTGCTTTGTTTTTTGAGTTTTGTTGATATGTTTTGTGTGTTCCGATATTAGTTCTGTTCGGGCAGGATATCAGTTTTTAATTGCCTAGATAGTTGTTTGATATATCTGGATATTCCTACATTGATATTGGTTTTGGTCGACCATGATATCTTTTGTGAATTGCCTGGATAGTTGTTTGATATATTTGGATATGACTTGTTTGATATTACTTTTGATCGTTAGGGTATTCGTTATGTGGAGTCCAGCTATTGATTAGCTAATGTCAGGATATTCTACTGGGCAGGGAAATCATAATGACAAGAACTAAATCAACTGCAATGAGGACCACATCAGAAGGCGAAACCTTTAGGCCTAAATGTGCCAAACAACAACAACAAAATGAGGACCAAGAAATTGAGGATGGAGAAAGTGATGACCAAGACGATGAGGGAAAATGAAGAAAAGTTTATTTTAGATTTGTGTAGTGTGATATTGGTTTGTAAAATTGAACTTAGGGTTAGATAATATTTAGGGAAAGATGTTGGTTTGTAGCAAAATGGATAATATTTTGTTAAATGTTGGATATAATTACCAACATAAATTCTCAAAAATATAACGTAACCTCCGAGAAAAATATCTGTCTTTATGTAGAATAATATCCTTAAAGCTCAGACTAATACTTTTTGTGTGCCAAAGTATATCCTGAAAGCCCAGACTAATATCCTCGATCTCTTTGCCTCTTCACGATTCTTCGGTTTGTTTTTCCCTTAGTCATCAATTAAACACATTTAATCAATTACCCGCATTTAGTAATCAATTAAACACATTTAATCCCGTGAGGTCAAGATATTATCGAGGCGGGAAAAAGTCCAAAAGATGATCGACATTTTGGAGCAGAAATCCCACACTTGAACAAAGAATTTTCTTAAGTACTATTTTTTGTTTGGAAAGTTATAATCGCCATGTCGGAATGAATTTTACTACTAATTGTATCGAGTGTTCTCACTAGTTTTGCGTACTAGAAAACCATAGCAGACCAATATCCGTACACCATAAAAAAAATATCCACACCACCCATACCAATATCCGTTCCTCACATAATAAATATCCTCACCTACACAAACTAATATCCATCGCTCAGAGACTAATTTCTGACTGTCTTAGACTAATATCCGACTACACAACCAACATATTCACACATCTCATACTAATATCCTCCAATTATATAATAATATCTTATCACCATAGACAAAAATCGAACCACCCTACATTGTGTTCAAAACCATTTCAACAATATCGTCTTCTAAACCCGACTAATTTATGACTGTCTTAGACTAATATCCGACTACACAGCCAAAATATCCACACATCTCATACTAATATCCTCCAATCACATAATAATATCTTATCACCACAGACAAAAATCGAACCACCCTACATTGTGTACAAAACCATTTCCACAATATCGTCTTCTAAACCCGAAACCAAAACTCGAACCCTATACCTGAAACCCTTACCCTATACACTAAACACAAAACTTGAACCCTGAACCCTAAACTCTAAACGTCAACCCCAAACCCTGAACCCCAACCCCCTAAACTCCAAACTCTAAACTGTAAACCCTAATTCTAAACCCTAAACCCTTATACCAAACGCTAAATTGATATAAGCATATACAACAAATATCCAAACCACCCAGACTATTATCGGACCGTAGCAGACAAATACCCACGATACACAGATTAATATCTTACTATTGTAAACTAATACCCACTACACACAGATTAATATCTGAACATCACAGAATAATACCAACTACACATAAACTCTAAACCTTAATTGCTAATTAAATTAAATTTCAAAACAAACATATGACAATCACAAACTAATACCAAAAGTAATTAAATTGGCTAATTAAAGAATATCAACAGACTAATATCATTTAATGAGAAAACAAATATCCAAAAATCCCAGACAAATAGCTGAAACATGAACTAATATCAATTCAAAACAAAGCTAATATCCGAACCACCTAAACTAATACTCATTCTTTGCAAAACAAATACAAACACCTCCCAGTTTAATATCTGACTACAAGACTAATCACTAAATCATTAACCCTAAACCCTCACTCTTCTACTATTATTCTTTCATTGGCCTTCGGCCCATGGGCCCTCGGCGGGCAGCCCTAACTAAGGTTGCAAGCCTTATGTGTTAGGACTTGATAGTGTGTTTAATTTTGATGGAAGACACAATATTGATTACTTCACAAACTAATATCAATCATATAATATCAGTTCATGCAAAAATAAATATTCATACCGTCCAGACTAATATCCGACATTAACAAATATCAGACCTGCAAAAATAAAAAGTGTTTCACAAAGAGGAGAAAAAGTGAAAAAACAGAGGACAAAAAAAAGAGATGTGAAGGTGGGTGAGCATTAAATGAGATGTATTCTCTCCCCTCCAATTAGATTTATGTTTCTCTTTCCTTTTCTTTTTGTCACTTTTCTTTTTCTTTTCTCTTCAATCCCGCCCAAAAATCTGGTGGACCCGCGCCACTCCACCCGCTCCTCTCCATGGCTCGGCTCAACATGAAAAGCACATCCCCTTTCTATTATAGCTCACTTAAATGAGCCTCTCTCTTTCAACCATTGGATCACGGCTGAGCCTCCGTGGCCATCATCTTGGCCGTATCAGTATCTGCTAACGGATTCCCCTGTTAGCAGTTTAACTTTTTCGTTGGACTGTATCTGCAAAATGTACCCACTTGAGTGAGTTGAGCAAGGCTAACCCCAAAGGCCCAAACCAACGAAAGGGCATTCTTGTAATCAGCTGGCAAAAAATAAACACGCTTACCATAAGTACTCTGTATCGCCGGTGAAACCAAAAAGTCAGACGATCAATTAATTCACTGAATGAGGCTTTGCTCTCAAAGAGAAAGCTGGATGGTATCCCGTTTCCCCTTCCTCTCTGAACAGCTGCAGAGCCGATGATTTCTCCGATCGTCAGTAGAAACAAACACTGCTAATATTCTCCGGATCTCTCCCCTCCGCCGCCGCCATCACCATGGAACTGTGATCTCGGCATCTCGCAGTCTGCTGGCGTGTTTGTTTCCACTATGTAAATACTATTAAAGGGTCCCCTCTACTATGCATTTTCCCTAAACCAAGCAAAGAAAATATAACCTTTGTTCCTTCTTCTTCTTCTTCTTCTTCTTCTTTGCCCTCTTCAAAAAAACGAGGCTGTGATGAGATCTCCGGTGAGTCCAGACCAGGAATTCAGAGTGCGAATCGATTCTACGGTTGTTTGGCGGGGTGATCTCGGTGGCACTTTTTGGGTGTACGATTTCGCAGCCGAATCAAGCCGTAGCAATAACGACTCCCTCTTGTCTTGCGTCGGGAAATCGCCGGATCTGAGCCCGTCGCCGTTCTCCCTTCTCTATGAATGGCTGCGAGGTCCATGATTTCTCCGACCTCCGCCGCCATTCCTCCTCCTCCCTTCCACACTACTCCTTCCCCTGCTGCTGCTGCTCTGCTTCTTCGTTTCTTTTCCCGGGGAACTTGGTTTGTGTTGATTAACTAATTATCTGCTTCTCCTTCTTCTCCTTCTTCCTCTTGCTCTTTGAAGTGGGGCTGTGATGATATCTACTGAGAATCTGTTCAGGCAACCCTTGAGGTCGGCTTCCCACGGCAGGTCCGGCAAGGCGATGTAGTGGTAGTGTTTAGCTGCTTGATTTCGCAGCCGGACGGCCGCTGGTCTCCGTGCCTCTTTGTCGACGAAATGATTCCGGATCTGAGCTACTCTTTTGATTGATTTTCTGGGTCTGAGCATAGATTGTTATTAAAAGAATTAATAAGAGACTGAAGATGAAAATTAAGCAACTGGAGAGGATCATCAAACTGTACGTCGGACTTGTGACATATTTTCTTGCTACTAATCAATATGCGTCAACACTAAACAATGAATGAAATACAGGCGAGCCCTCCAACCTGATGTTGACTATTTCTTGTTTCTACTGCATTTGCAGATCAGAAGCCAGTGCAAAGATTGATTCTTTTTTACGCTGTTCAAATACTTGTTTATTTCCATCACTACCCATGTGTGTCTGATAATAAACTGTATCTTGGCAGACTTTCTCCATGCTGGAGCCATGGAAATGACGGGAGAATATAAAATTTTATTTTGTGTGTCAAGATCATCGATCCCATCTTGTTGCTGCTTCAAATGGTGTGAAAAGCTCCACGGTCTCTCCATTCTCTTCCCAAAACACCAAATCGGCTCGCTCTTTGCTGTTGATCCCCTCCCAATCGAAGAGATGGCAGAAGTGATTCTGGTCCCCGTCGCAAAGCAAATCCTCGGAAAGCTAGCTAACTTGGCTTGGGACCAGGTCGCACTAGTATGGTCTCTCCGAAACGAGCTGGAGAAACTCAAGGGCACCGTCTCCACCATCCAGGCCGTGCTCCGTGATGCTGAGGAGAAGCAGGGCCACAATCATCAAATCACAGTGTGGCTCGAGAAGCTCTCCGATGTGATGTACGATGCTGATGACTTGCTCGATGATTTCTCCACCGAGACTCGTCGGCAGAAGGCAGCAGGAGCAGACTCGACGACGGCTTCTTGTTGCAGTGTGGTATGTTTCCTAGTCTCTTTTCCGAAACGATTCTTGTATGAACATGGGATGGCTCGCGCCATCAGGGCGATTCGAGAGAAGCTCGATGATGTGAAGAATGACAGGGAGTTCCACTTGGACGAGCTTGCTGAGAGAGAGCAAGCTCTCCCTTTGGAGACGGATCCATGTCCGCCGAATATTGTTGTCGGGAGAGAAGCTGACCGAGAAGAAATCGTTCGACTTCTAGTGCACTCTGATTGTGAATCTAATGTTTCTGTGGTCACAATTGTTGGGATGGGTGGACTTGGAAAGACGACTCTTGCTCAGCTTGTGTTCGAACACGAGGCAGTTAAGGCGCGCTTCGATTTGACTGTTTGGGTTTACGTCTCGCAGAGCTTTGATGTCAAAGCCCTTCTTGTAAAAATGTTGCAATCCATGACTGGTGAGAGCCAAGCAGGTCTTCAGTTGGCTGTTCTGCAGGAGAAGCTTTGGGACAAGATAAGAGACAAAAGGTTTCTTGCTGTATTTGATGATGTCTGGGAGGAGAGTGCTAGAAGTTGGGAGGACTTGGCAAAATACCTTATGGTTGGTGCCGCGGGTAGCAAGGTATTGGTGACCACTCGATCCACCAAAGTGGCCGAGCTTGGTGGTGAAATCTTGAAGTCGGAAACGAGTAGCAAAGTTGTGATGCCCTATTTCTTGGAAGGCTTGTCGGAGGACGAGTCTTGGGATTTGCTGGTGAGAAAGGCTCTTCATGGAGAAGCTCAACAGTGCCTGGATGTGGAAAGAACTGGAAGAGAGATACTGAAGAAATGTTGTGGAGTTCCTCTTGCTGTTAGTACGATAGCTGGTGTGTTGAGTTCGAGAGATCCGAAATCTGAGTGGTCGTTGTTGCTACGTGATGAGCTCTCAAGCATCTCTGGAGAAGAAAATCATATAATGTCAACCCTTCGTTTAAGTTTCAATCATCTTCCTTCGAAGCTGAAGCATTGCTTTTCTTATTGCAAGCTGTTTGGAAAGGGTGATGATCTTGATGTTCCAAGGATGGTACAACTCTGGATGGCACAAGGGTACGTCGAGTCGGACGATGAAGGGTTGGGTTGTTTGAAGACGCTAGTCTGTAGGTCATTTTTCCAGGAAGTAAAGGTAGACGAGTTGGGGAATTTATGGACATGCAAGATGCACGATTTGATGCACGATTTAGCTAGTTCCATTGCTGGGGAAAGGATCGAAATACTCGAAATGTCGAGTATTCTACAAAGCATTTCTTCAAGAACTCGTCATGTGGTGTTGTTTGGATTCTCTAATTATGACGGAGACGACGATGGTGATTATGGATTGTTAGGGGATGTGAGCAAGGTACGGACACTGATGGGTTACAGCAGTTATTCAAAAAGAGATCGTGGACGAGCCCTCCACAACTTCAAGCGTGTACGAGCTTTAAGAATGTTGATTAAAGATTCGGATAGTTGTGAAATACTGCGTGCTCTTGGCGAGTTGAAGCATTTGAGATTTCTTGCTCTGGGGTGGCGGGGACTGGAAAGAGTTCCGAATACGATCACCAAGTTGCTCAATCTGCAAGTGCTTGATCTCCGTGCTTGCCGCTACATAGAGGAGCTACCAAAGGATGTTAGAAAGCTAGTCGATCTTAAGCATATCTACCTGCACGAGTATGTGGAATTTGCACATATGCCAAAAGGGATTGGGGAGTTAACATCCCTACAGACCTTACCTATTTTTGTAGTGGGACATAAAGGAGATGATGAGACCGCAAATGGAGCAGCCGGGTTGGAAGAGCTGCGAGAGTTGAATTCTTTGGGTGGAGAGTTGAAGATTGCAAACTTGGGGCACGCCGAGCCTGTGACTGTGAGTGGTTATGTCTTAAAGAACAAGTTGCGGCTTCAGTCCTTGGTTTTAAAATGGGGATACCCCGATTACGACGATGCTACTCGCTCTGCCAATGATGAAGAGATGCTCGAAATGCTCCGCCCTCATCCCGATCTTAAGAAACTGGAGATTCACGCATATCAAGGTGTGAATCTCCCCAACTGGTTGTCTACAATGACCAATCTCGTGGACTTTAAACTAATCAACTGCGTAGAATGCGAGTACCTTCCGCCATTGCATCTATGCCCATCTCTGAAGAAGCTCCACATCAGCTGCTGCACAAAGCTTTTGGGCATTAGAGACGACTATTTTTATTTTAGTGATGATGATGCTGGCAACGACGATTTCCCCTGTTTTCCTGCTCTTTCCAGCTTGAAAATCACTTTTTGCGACATGCTGAAGCGGATGCCTCTCTTCCCAACTGTTGACGCCCAGTTGGAGTTGGACGAATGCTGGGCATACCCACTGCTTTGTACAATGATGATGAAATCGTCTAACCTTAGTAGCCCGCCTCTCTCCCAGTTGTCGAGTTTGCTACTTGTGGATCTTGATGACCTGGAGTATCTGCCGGAGGAAGGTGTCTGCAACCTAACTTCGCTTCAGAAGCTGGTTATCAGGCGTTGTCCAAGATTAGCCACTCTGCCTCCTGCTATGCGACGCCTAACTTGTCTGCAGATACTGATTATTAAAGGGTGTCCCTTGTTGAAAGAAAGGTGCAGAGAAGGAGAAGGTGAGGACTGGCCCAACATTTCCCACATCCCATCAGTAGAGCTCAGCGACTAATTCTGAAAACTCTCTAGAATTTCCATTCTGCTGTTTGCATAATGACATTGTTGCAGCTTTTGTTTTCGGTCCCTCGGCAAATTTTACACGCCATTGGACTGTAGCTAACAAAAATACATACTTGCGGACTTGTAGCTAACCTAACCTTCTTATGCTGAATTCGAAGGTCGGTAACTTCTAATAAGTGTTTGCAAATCTATGTGGGATGAACTCAATAACTAATCATCACCAACATAACATACCCAAGATTGTAAGTTACAGTATCTACACAAAATCCAATGGAGAAAACAGAGCAGAGAGTTAATCAAGACAGAGGAGGGAACAATCAGGAATGGGGAGAAAGAACGGCAGCTTCCACCCGGATGTACTTCTTGGGATTGTTGGGATCGACAACCCATTGGATTTCACTCATATTGGGCGTCTCCACAAACGCCATTGTGAATTCCCCGATCTTTTTTATGCTCCCTCTCCTCCCTGCCCTCAAAACCATCATCGTGTTGTAGTCGCCGCTGTTGGAGAAAATCCCCTTCTCCAATCGAACAATGTCTCCCTCCTCGAAAGCATCGCAATCCTCGCCCCACAGCTCGAAGTGCACGGCCGCGGTCTCATCGGCTACCAGCGCCATGCACGACCTGCTTCCCCCTCTGTTCTTCTTCACCCTGCTCTTCTCCAGCAATATGAACGTCGTGTTTATGTTGTTCTGGGCGGCAGGGATGATGTCTTTTAGATGAATGGGGCCATCCATTCTTCCACGCGCTACTCTTTCTGCTGCTGGGTGATCTAATAGCGTTTAGCTGCTTGATTTCGCCGTGCCTCTTAGCCGCTGATCTGAGCTCCTTCTCTTCTGTGAGAGGAAGAGGAAATCAATAACGGCAGTCAGAGATTAGGGAAGAAACCCCTACCTGGCCCGCGGGAGAAGTGTTTCGTGGGTTGGGCCGGCTACTCGAATGGGCTATGAATGTTGGGCAAGCCCAAGTTTGAAGTTCAAGCCTCTAAGTTGATTGATGTTAGCAGGCAGCTATCCTTATGCTTTGCGGACTACAACTAATCAAATAACAATAACATGAGTTTTAGAGAATTAAAATGGAGTAAAAAGAATGGAGAACCAAAAATTATACAAGAGAGTCACATTATCATCAAACATACCATCAATCCTATATAGTTTTTAATAGATATGCACTAGTTTAGATGTCGTTTTACTAGGCTTTGGTAGGATAAGATTAAAAAAAATGGAAACTTTTTATCCACTTTCCTAAGTATAGGTTCAAATCAAACAATGCCATCTTGGTTAATAATACAATTAAACAAAAACTTAAAACATTTCCTCCTTTTGTTTGTAATGATCAATGAGGTTCTAAATTCTAATAGTGAAACTAATTGGAAAACAAAATGAAGAAATTTTTATACGTATCCTAGATGGAGGAAAGATGTTTAATGTGACCCACCCACCCACTTGCTAAAAAATGGCTAAACTAATGATAAACCTACCCATCATTTAATTTAAGCAACGATAGTTAGTTAGAGGGTTAGGGTTCCCATTTCAATGTTTAATATTCCATGATCATATTAATTTCTTTTGACTCATATATTAGGAATTAACATTGTATGATGACTCACTGGCTCACTTTCTTATATGACCGACGAATTTGTAATCGAAAGTTAGCATGATGTACTTATTCTAGCTTCTCACCAAAATATCGTTACAACATAATTGAATAGGTTGTAGCTAGGATTATACAAAATGTATGAAATGGCTCGAAAAATAGTTCAGGCCTCCTTAATCCCAAATGCTACTTCTGGTTAATAACAATTTGCGACCACTCCAAGGAATGTTTAAGTAGAATGTGTGCCGTTGTTAGCTAACTTGCTCATCAAGCCATCATTTATTGCTATCATGCAAACCCCCAATAGCTATTAATATCATCATTTAAGTTTTGGAAATGACCACAAAATGGGGGTCTTACGTACACCACAAGTAAATAGATATCTCTGTATGGTGGTGTGAAGGGTTTCCTTTTTCCCTCCGCCTAGGGGAAGAATTCAATCTTGTAGGGTTTCCCATTACAGCCTGTTTGGAAAGGCTTTTTGAGGAAATGGAATTCCAATTCCCAAACTTTCCATGATTCTCATGTTTGGAAGTAAAAAGTAAAAAGGAAATGGAATTTCAAAAGGTAAAAAGTTGGAAATTCTAAATCCTACAAAAAGTGGTCGGAATTGGTGGAGGGAGTGATGGAATTAGTGGACCCCACATTAATTTTGACTCACCTTTACAAGAAAGCCCTTACTACTTTTGGATTTGAAATCATTAATACCAAGGATATTATTGTAAAAGCACTTGTAAGAAATCATTTCCATTTTTTCCAAACATAAAAAGACGAAATCATTTTCCAAACTTTTGGATTTGTTCCAAACATAAAATTTTAAAATGAATTCCCACTTGAATTCAGATTCTCACAAGAAATGGAATTCATTTTCCGACAGAATTATATCCAAACAAGCTGTTACTCTCACGAAAGGACAGATGCCCCTCTCAACGACCCTAATTGTTATAGGATCCCAAAGAAGCCATTCCTAGCTATTTTTATTGCCTATAAACTTGGCCACGGGGCCAAGAGAATTGAAGGGAAACCTCACAATGAATGATTTGGAGCTCTACCAATCAGTGATTGTGACCATTACATTTACGCCATTCTACATTCTTCTCGGCACAAGTAGTTTGGAGACAAAGTATGAACACTAGCTATAGCCATGTATAGGGAAAGTGATGTGGTGTGCAGAACTTCCATATGTTAGGAAATATATTAAACAAGAGAAGGCCACATCCTTATTTTCAATGCGTGGGGCAGGAGTAGAGATGGACGACCCTTCCATCCACCACACCCTACATGCATATCAATATTCTTAATACCAACATGGGTTGTTTTGCTTATCAATGTTCGAGACGGAGGGTTGTTTGATTTTTGATTGTTTCGGGAGTGAGATATAATATCGAGGGGTAGAAAGTAGAGCGAAGTTGCAGTAAATGTAGATAACTTGTTATTTGTGAGGAGATAACTCCTATTTGTACAAAGTTGGATGGTAGGTACGTGGTGATAACATTAATTAAATATTGTTGTTGGGCGCCTAGACTCTTACTCTCTGTCACTGTACATTGTACTTTTGCTTAGACTTGTAGAGATAGTTCCACTGACTTCTTCCTTGCTAATGTCAGATGTGTAAGCATGTATCCTGACTTTGTCCTTTTCTTAGCCTTCTTTGATTCGTCCATTGCCGATGTGAGAATTTTTCCCCCCGGTAATTAGTCCTTTTCATTAAGCTCACTTGATCACTATCAAGTGGCACAAAAAAGTCAGATTTACATCTTACAATTAGAAAGTGCTAACAATCAAAAGTGTAAATTCAGTCTTCCTATCACTCTACTGTGCATAACAACATCTTTAAACCGCAAATCCCCTTGCGCCAATAGCCAGACTTCTTCACGTAACTACAAGAAGATAACCTCCCGTAGCCTCGGAGACTCTCCAAAGACACGCTTACAACGTTCTTTCCAAACCAAACTACAAACCATCACCAAATGGCGCTCATCACCGAACCATCCATACTGTTTTTAGCAAGTAAACACCTCTCATGAAGCATCTGGTCCCAATTTGACCCCCAGCTGCACAGCAAATTACCAAAGACTGCATTCATCAAACGGCCAGTATACTCACGACTACAAAACAAATGAGAGCGGCTTTCCTCCTCTGTATCACATAGTACGCACACTGCCTCATTAATCTTTCCCCACATCTTGAGCTTGTCCCGAGTCACTATACGATTTAAGATGACAAGCCACATTATAACTCTGTTTCGAGGTAGAGTATACTTACCCCATATCACCTGCCACCAAGGAACCAGCGGTCTATGCATCCTAATGGACTCCCAAACTTGCTGCACTGAAAACCTTTGCATGAGTTTCCCTTCCCAGAAAACCTGATTATATAGTAACAATTAGAATGTACTTAAGACATTATAGTTACGTATGAGCATGTTCATTTAATTTAATTTAATTTAATTATTTCAAGCAATAAATTCGAAATAGCAACAATGAAATTTATTATTATTAAAAGAAAAAACAATAACAACAACGAATTAGCTGTCTCCAAACGAACCATGCAACGCAACCCCCAAAATATTCTCCCGCAAGCATCAACAAGGAAGAAACAAACAAGAAGGGAAAAAAGGAACCCCTCCGAAACCCGTACGCGCGAAACAAGAAAAACGGAGGCTTCTCTAACTCTAAACCCCAAGGCAACCACCTAATTAGTTGTCACTCACCCCTTAATTCTACTTCAAAAAAGGAAGAAAAAACAATTAATTAAACTAATTAATTCCAAGCCGCACACAGAAACCTAGCCGCCTAAGCAGAAAAAAAACCGCACTATAAATTAAATCCCCTCCCTTCAACCTCGCTTTGCAACTTCCTCTCTAAAACTTTCCCTCCTTGGCTTCATTTTCATTTTCTCGCCCTTAAACCAAGTCTCTTACAATGGCGGAACTAATGAGGGGCCTCCTCCACTCGGCCTGCCACGTCATCGGCGGATACAACAAAGACGCCGCCGACGGAGGATACAGAGGCGCGCCGCCGGCGGAGACGGAGACAGGGTTCAGGATGCCGCTCCACTACCCGAGGTACAGCAAGAGCGACTACGAAGCGATGGAAGAGTGGAGGCTGGATCTCCTCCTCTCGCAGTACGGTATCCGCCTCGGCGGCACCGTCGACGAGAAGCGCGCCTACGCCATCGGCGCTTTCCTCTGGCCCGACCAGTACTGAACGGAAACAGAGAAACTCGAGAGGGAAAAGGATCAGAGAAGGAATTTCCAAGGTGTTAATTGGAGTGGGGGGTTCGTTCTTAATTATACTAGCTTTCACCCTGCCCTTTGGGCAGGCGGTAATTATGTTATAGCTTGTATCATGTAATTTATGAACATATTTATTAACATCTAACATTATTTTTTTTATTGATGATTACAGTATTTTTATCTTAAAAATGAGAAAAGGGTCAAAAGTTGTTACGTAGAACTATGGTTGTCATGCCGGTGGCATGCCACCCGGTTGAACCTGGTTCAACCTGTGTCGGTCATGAAACCGGTATGATACCATCGGAATGACCGGTATGATCGACTTACGCATTCTAAGTAAAATGGCATCATTTTAATGAGTTTAATGAATAAAAAAATTAATTTATTATTCATTTTATGAATGTAATAGTTAAAGTTGATGATATTTGTTGGATTGTAACTAAATTGTCCACAAATATGTTTTATATATGATTAAATACATGTGATATTAATTGTTTTCACATTTTTTTTAACCGGCACAAACTGGTTATACCACAGGTTGTACCATTCCACTTGTCAAACCGGCACAACGGTATAAACCGGTTTGACAACCTCGGTAGAAGTCAGGGATGAAAATCCCACATTCTATGTTTTGAAAGTAAATTATAATGCTATTTTCAAAATTACAGTAATTAATGTATTTGAAATCTATAATATTTAAAGTGTGAAGCAATATCTATTGTATTTGATCAATATAAAAATCTATAATGCCTAGAGCAAATGTTCTATTATTCATATATCTAGTTTTCTATAAGAAAAAATAATATTTTAATAGTAAAGGAAGGAAATACTCGGTTAAAAAATGGATTTAGACTTCTTGCATTATAAGAATTTAAGTCAATAATTATCATCTAAAATATGCTGTAAAAATTATTTAAAAACGCTGCCAAATGCCCAAATTCTTTTGTTTTTTGGTGGAACAAATGCCCAAATTCCAAAATAATAAATACATTTTTCTGTGGATTACAAATATATATTGGTCTGATAAAAAACGGTTAGCAAGCCTAGTTTTGGGGGAACGGTTCCAGCCAAATTAATATAAAAAAACAAAACACAAAAACCTTATAATTCCGCAAGATGCGGTCGTGCTTTTAAGGCTGACGTGGAGGGGGCTTTTTTCACAAAGCCCTTTAATATATTTAAAGATTGTATTAACTGTTTTTCATTTTTTGTTTGTTTAAAGAATGGAATGGTTAGACGTAATTCGTAACTACCCTCGAAAATTATATGCGTTCGCCGGCCAGCGGCAACCGCTTTGTTTCGATTTCTCCGGATTATTAATTAGTGATGGTAATTACGGAATCGTAGTTAGTTATTACGGTGAGGCCCGTTAACTGTGGAGCCCATTCTATTGGGCCGAGGCTGATATGGGAGGGGACAAATAGGAGAAAACTATATTGTTTCCTTGCTCAATCCTGATTTCCTCCCTGGCCCCTTCAAATCAGATTCACTCAAATAAGCCAAATCCTAGGTAAAAGCTCAAAGCTTTCCTCTTCATTCTACAAAACCCACATTCCAGAATCTCGTATAGTTCATCACGAACAAAACCCACAAATGAGAATGGATTCTAGTAACAGTCATTATAAGCTCATAGCTGTGGGTGATTACTTGGTTCATGAGAAGGAGCTGCGTGCAGCTGGTGATCACATTCTCCCTCTTCTCTGTGCTGACATCCATCTCTTGGGTTACTAGTGGTATGGTTGCCAAGAGCTATGTGTACATAAAGTTCAATCCTTTCTTCTCGTCCTTCTTCACGCATACCTTGGGCTTGAAGAGGAAGTACATGTTCTTGATCTTCAATGGCATCCTTGCTTTCCTTGCCACTTCGGCATCTTCAGCTTCCTCCACCACCGCCATTATCAGAAGCAGCATTTCGTCACAAACTACTTCAGCTTCTTCTTATGCTCATCATCATGATGAGGGCATAGTGGAGGAGGAGCGTTCAGCTGCGGTTCATGAAGATTGTGATGAGATTGATGATGATTCTGATGTGGAAGAAGGGGTTGTTCATGAAGAAGTGGTTGTTCATGAAGAGAAGATGATGAAGGTTCAAGGTGGGGATTGTAGAAATCAATTTCAGCAACAAGGAGTAGAAAGAGTAGTAGTAGAAGAAGAAGAAGAAGTAGAGGAAGAACAGGAGGAGGAAGAAGAAGGGTCAGAAGTGGAGGGAGAGGGAGGGAATGGATGTAGCACAGAGGAAATGAACTCAAGGTTTGATGAGTTGCTTAGGAAGATGAAGGTAAGGATGATGTCTGAATCTAAACAGCAGAAGCTGCTGCTGCAGAAGCTCATACCCTTTATCTAATTACTGTAACCCAAATGTGTGTATTGAATTAGTTGGAAACAGATCTGGTTTGATGTGGAATGGGGCAGAGATGTAAGATAGATCAATCTCAGGGATTCTTCTCCTTCCAATGGATTAGAAATTGGTAGCTGAGTTGTGACCTTCTGGGAGCTGGTCTAGTCTTTGCAGGGTTTTGTTCATTACCAAATGCAATAGAGTTTATAGCCCAATTGTCATTGGTTCGGTTCAATCAGCATTACAATTGAAGCATCTAACCTTCGATTTCTTCCAAACAATTATTGCATAGTTTTTATCAGTATCAAATGCAATAACAATGGTTTGAACAAAGATCACAATGATTGATTGATATGTACACTAGGAGAATGTTCCTTGGAGAGAACACAAACAAGTTATCCAAGGAACCATGAACCTACAGAGCATAATGGTTTTCATCAGGACGGCCTGCAACATAATCTAGGAGCCCTTCACCATTCCCCTGACCATGTTGCTGATGATTCGAACCGATATTCAGTCTCGAGACACCACCGAAGGCCATGATCAAGATCAGAAACACAGTTGTGGAAGCAAGGAGAGGCAGGAAGTATGCGAGGATCGTGAGGAGGCTCGGAGCTGCATACATCAGCAAGGAGAGGAAAAGGGAGGCGACGGCTGCAGCTGCAAAATGGTACTTGTATTGCAGCAACAGCTTCTCTGAGATCTCCATGGCTGGATGGAAATGGTGGTGCTGTTGTTTTTGCCTTTGATTGCAAGGACTAGCCATTAGGTGATGGGAATGTGGGGAGGGAAAGAAAGGCAAATTGGTGCTTTATAAGTGGAGAGGGGGGGAATATTGTGGTGTTTTACTTGTGAACATTTGCTCTCTTACTTTCCTTTGATTTGGTCTTTTCGTATGATGATTCTTAGTTGTCAAAGGAAGATACATTTGGTTGCAAAGAGACTTCAATCTTAAATTCTTTGTAGTTGGGAATAGCATAATGGGTTCATGATAGTAAATCGATGAAATATGGGCCTTTATTTTTTTTTTAGACACTAAGTGGGCCTTTGAAACACCCCACTGGATGATATTTCTAAAATGGGGATGCTTAGGCCCAAGCCCAAGCATGTCAAAGTTCTTGAATTAGCCTAAAATCATTCTGGTAGTTTGACTTTGATGATATTCCAATGGATTTCATCATATTGTGCGTGTGTTCAATATATGACGAAGAATTATGTTTTGATATGTCATTAGGAATAATTAATTACATAAATTATATGTCATAATAGTAGCTAGAGATTGTTGTGATCCTAGAAAATCATGAGTACTCTGTTGACTAAAGCTTTCTCACAAAACACAAGAAATCCTATGAACCATCCAAGTCCTCAATATAAATATGAGTAATGGCCCCAAAGCACAAGATTTAGTGGATATTGTTGATATGAACATCGCTCCTACTTCAATTGGTAAATATGTAGTGAGGTTAACATTTACCAAAGTGAGGGTTTGACTATAAGTCCTCTATCAAATTGAATCCTAGTCCATTATGGTTATTGATGAATAAAGAAAGGGTTCAAGTTGTCGTCAAGTCATGTATCTATTTATGAGAGCCAGAACTAACAACCTCCTTGTGCCACCAGATGCAATAAATCATAGAAAAGAATGTGAGTAAATTTCAAGACAAATATTAGCTCTCCAAAACTATAAAGGAACAATAACGACATTATTGAAAGATAGTCGTTTTGGAGGACGTTCTCTTTTTTAATAGTTTTTCGAGTCAGTTTCGTGTCTTTTTGCTCTGCAGAAGTTCAACAGAGTTGCTCATATAGTGACAAAGCAAGCTTTTTGATCGATAGTTCGGTTGCACAGAAACTACCATATTTGATGTCGGTTTTGTAATTGTGTCTCTCTATTTTACTACGCCCTATGAACTTGCCTTGAAAAAGTAAAACAATAACGAGTAACTAGATAAAAATAACGACAAAAATGAAAGGATTGTGCTTCCATTGATTAAGAACAAATTCTAGTAAGTGACCCACCAAGAATGGCCTTCCAAGTGTTGCCAATTGTACCTTAACACAACAGGATTCTCTCAGCCAAAAGGCAATACTTGCTTTCATCACAAATATTAAGTAATGTAATTAAATTAAGGTTATAAACCAACCAAGTCATCTAGCTAAGCCCTTATAATATTATACCATAAATCACACATCAAAGCTAGCTTAAACCCACCCCACATCACCATCAAAACCCACATTGTTCATTGACAATTCAGACAGGCCATGATTGGGAAATGGATACTGTCATTAGTACAAACAAATTAAATTAAGCCCTAGTCCATCATTTTCCCAAGGTTGTTCATCAATTAATAATGGATCACCTTCCTTTTCTTTTGAAAAGATAAATGGTATATGAGTTTTTGAGAACTGCAATAATACCTCGATACAACATAGACTACAGATCCATCAGTAACTGAGGCGTCAACGGAGATCGAATATCTCTTATTTACCTAAATAATTTATAACATGATTATGCTTCAAATAAAAACACAATCCGCTTCTAGTAACTCGAGTTTTTTGTCGAGATATTGGTGGCTTGGGGGATTCTTCCCTTTGTTCCTAATGAAAACACCAAGCAACAATTAATAATGTATTGCAAATCCAACATTTGGCATAGTTATCACACACAAAAGCATCAATTTTTTGTACACTATTTGTTAAATTTTCACTCATCTACGCTTGCAAGCAAAGAAGATGATGGGATATGTGACAAAAATTCAGCTTGTGGATATCTATGTCTTTCTCCCCCTTTGTTTTTTGGATTTTCTTTCTTTTAAGCCACTTTTGATTAGAAAGTCATTTTCACTATAGTGTCATATAATACCTCATTTCCTTAGTTTCGAGTTCAAAATGAAGACTTGTGTTGATAACCTGGGTTCCTCCAATGTACATAATTATATGGAGGAGGGAAAAGGAAGAGAAAGGAAGAAAGCATGGTTTAAGGAAGGTTTAGCGCTTAAGCAATTAGAATTACTCCAAGATAGGAGAGCTTTCTATGTGTTAAGTCAGATTGTGACCATCATTAGTTCTAGATAGGGTCGAAGCCTAAAAACTAGAGGTGGGAATCATCTATTGAGTCATCTTCTAAGATATGTCTCATGTGTCAAACAACTAATCTCACATTGATTGAGATTGAAACAAAACACACATAAGTTGGTTTAAGTGGTTGTATTGCTGAAAGTTCGCCATACTAGTTTGCACAAACGGTTGTATATAATTATGTTTAAAACATCTATTAATATTAGGAGATACTAGAATTCCTACACAAGAGACTTTTTTTTTTATAAAGGCACACACAAGAGACTTTAATAATGTATGCATTGAATCACGATCATTGGCTCGATCATGACATATGATTCAATGCATACATACGGTCAGACATTCTCCTTACAGGTGGTATTCTCCATAGTGCAGGTGATCGAATTTGATATGGAAATCTCCTTATTTAAAATTGATATCTTTAGTATTACATCATCCATAACACACATAGTTGTGAAACAATATGCAACTTAGAAAATGTAAGTAGGAAGGAATGATGTCAACATGACTAAGTAATTTGGTCCAATAAAAATCAATCATACAAACATATACACTATGGAAGAAGTATTTTGTATATAATGCATGAAACCTGCAAGTTTGTTTGGTCATTGAGAGGAACTCAGACAGGCGGAGGATTCAGTAGCCTAAACTTGCCTCTTTATCTTGTCTTCTCTGTTTAGGTTTCTGGTTTATTGGAGAATCAAATGGCACCTATAATCTCTACTCCCCCATCCACTAAGGAAAAGACAACAATTTACCAAATACATTAGAGATTATGACCAACAATTCATTTTCTATTCTCACCAACTTTTATTCCCTTCATTTTCTGCCATCGTCTTACTTTTCCTATTGTCATTTTTAGTGAGGGAGTTCTTTACTTTCATAATTTCATTTTTGTGGGTATTTGAGAATAAAATTTATTATTATTATTATTATTGTACGTTTATTTGAGCAACCCACCAACCAATACTCTTACCAAATACTCATCAAATACTATTGCATGCATATTTCTCCCTACCTCCAAGATATACTTTTCAATGGATTAGGTGTACAATATGATCCTTCATTTCTTCCTTGAAGTCAAGGTGTTCAACACATCACCATTCACAACCTTTGAAGAACAATACATATTTCCCAAAAAGAAAGCAATTTCTTTTTTCCTTAATGTTCTTCTATAAATCTTTACTTGAAATGTTTAAGGAAAAAGATTAGTGTCACTCAGGACGCAATTACAAAATTAAATGTAAAAAAGAGTACATAAAAGATTACACTAATTTCAGCAATATTTGGTAGACAAGCGGATCGTTAAATATATTTCGTGTTATTAAATGAATTTTTTCTATAAACAACAATGCAAGGAATATACTGGCAAGTGAAGTTATCGTATGATCTTTTATTGTAAAAATTATAACTATGTTTTGTGTTGAATTGTACTAAAGGAGAATTAAAAAAAACGAACAAAAAAGCCTATAAATTGTATAGATTATGTTATCAAAGGTGATGTAATTTGTTATATCTCGATTTAAATTTTGAAAAGAAGGTGAGATTTTCTTGGCAAAATTGATTCTTTTTTGTAAAGGCAGTTATATAACTCAAAGGAGGGGAAAGAGAGGAGAGCAAGCAAAGGCCGGCTAATGAGAACAATCATGCACAGAAATACTTGAAAATATTGCTTTGCTTCCCTGCCAGAGGAAGCTCCAAGTCAATTCAATCCAATCTACAACAGTCCCTTTTTTTGTGGCACTCTTTAAGGTCAATTCACTTTAAGGGATTGCACCATTTGGACTGTTGCTTTCCTGCTCTTTATATATGATCAACACCTTGCCATCTAATCCAAACAAAACCCTCACCAGCTCACAAAGAGACAGAGACTTCTTCTACCTGCAGGCTTGCCTTTGGAACTTGGTCCTTCTGCATTTCTTCCATTTCCTTTCAGAAGGGCATATACTTCTTGAACTGCCTTTTGTTGAGAACTTGTTTTGTTAGAAGTGAAAACAGAAATGATGGGTTTCGAAGAACAGCTTATTGGAGTGGGAGTTGGATTGGAAGAGTTCACCTTTCCTCACTCGGACCCTCTTGTTTTGGAACTCAACCGTCTGCAGAATCTACTCAAAGGTTTTTGCTTTACTTCTCCTGTGTTCCTTTTGGTGTTTCATTTCTTCATAACTGGATTCTCAAAGTCTCTAGCTTTAATCCGTCGCTCAAACTTGAAGAGCCATTACTATGGTGTTTATCATGCAGAGAAATATAGAGAGCTGGGGGTTAGTCATGGAGAAATCAAAGGTTTGAGAACTGCTGATGCATTGAAGGACAAGGCCATAGAAGAGGTAAGTAGGCTAAAAGAAAAGGACAAAACTTTCCCTTTTCCCCTTTTTATCTTTGTTCTATCAGAGAACTCCAGTGTTTGATCATGTCAATGGTAATCTTAGTTCATTTCCTTACCAGCTGAGGATTCAGATGACCAGACTAGATGAGAAGCTACGTGCCTCGGAGAATCTAATCGAGAACAAGGTTTGGTTCCATATCATTCTTGTCAAGTATCATTGGATCGTTTAAGATTATCGAATGTTTGCTAGAATTCCATGGTTGCTTAATTTCTTCAGAACCTGGAAATCAAGAAGCTAGTGGACGAAAAGAAAGAGGCTTTATCGGCACAGCATGCAGCAGAAGCAACTCTCAGAAGGGTTCATGCGAATCTCAAGGATGATGATTCTCCTCCCATCCAATCTCTTCTCGCTCCCCTGGAGGCGGAGATCAAGATGTACAAGAACGAGGTAATGAACACAGTTGCAGAAATAACAACAGTTTTAGTTTCAGGGAATCATAGTAAAGATTGAATATTTCCTGGAATTTCTTCTAGATTGCAGCATTGCAGGAAGACAAGAAGGCGATGGAACGTTTGTCCAAGTCGAAAGAATCAGCTCTACTTGAAGCTGAGACAATCCTGAAGAGTGCACTGGAGAGGGTTTTGATAGTTGAGCAAGTTCAGAACCAAAACTATGAACTGAGAAGACAGATTGAGATTTGTCAGGAAGAGAACAGGATTCTCGAGAAAACGAATCGACAGAAAGTTGTGGAAGTTGAGAAGCTCAGTCAGACCATTGGAGAGCTTGAAGAGAGTGTTCTAGCAAGTGGAGAAGCTGCAAATGCTGTTAGAGATTATAAGAGACAGATCACTGAACTGAATGTGAGCTTTTCTCTGACCAGGGAGTTGTAAGTTTGTAACTATGATTTTCTTGGAATGGAAATGGTTACTTTGAGCTTTGGGTTGTTTCAGGATGAGAAGAAGACGCTGGAGAGGGAGCTGGCCAGAGCTAAAGTGTCTGCGAATCGGGTAGCGACAGTTGCGGCGAATGAATGGAAGGATGAGAATGATAGGGTAATGCCTGTCAAGCAATGGCTTGAAGAGAGAAGGCTGGTGCAGGTAGATTCTGTAAAATATTAGGGGTGGCTAACTGGTTCGGTTTAGTTAGTCGAACCAAAACCCAGTAAGGAGTCCATAGCTGAACCATTAACTAAAACCAGTAATGGATCAAACTGCTAATCTAAACCTGGTTAGCCCAGAACTGATACTGGTTAGCCACCTATGATGTTCTTGTTCGTTGCAAAATCGCTTTAGAAACTGAAGTTGCAGGTCTTTCAGCTAATTACTGGCCATTTTATACACAACAGGCAGAGATACAAAGACTGAGGGACAAGCTTATAGTTTCAGAGAGAACAGCCAAGGCTGAAGCACAACTTAAGGTCAAAGTTCTATAAATTCAGTTTTGAATGTCAATTTCTTCAATGATTCTGAATGGACACTCTTACAATATTCTTAACTCCAGGAAAAGCTCAAGTTGAGGCTGAAGACACTGGAAGAAGGGTTAAAGCAAGCTTCCAGCATCGCAGCCAACTCTAATAAGTTCCGTGAGTCCCCTAAACGAGAAAAACATGGCAGCAGCATCTTGGGGTTCTTAGCAAGCAATGCAGGGCTAAGGAAGAGATCTGCATCACAGCCAAGGGCTTCCATGGTTGCTGGTAGAGGGTTACTCCTGCAGCAAGCAAACATGGAAACTGAGAGGAAAGATTCGAGGAAGCAAGGCTCCAGCGAAAGCATGGTGAGGAAGAGTTTGTGGGCATCTAGAAGTAGGGTTGTAGATAGCACTGGAAAGGAAAATGCAGAAGGGAGAGCAAATGCAGATCCTAATGCTGATAAGAACGTGAAGGATATTGAAAATGCAGAAGCAGCTAATGAGGCACTACAAGAGAAGGGAAGCAAGAGTCCTAGAGCTGAAGATTCGGTTTCAGGGTTCTTGTATGATAAACTGCAGAAAGAGGTGATAAATTTAAGGAGAGCTTGTGAGGCTAAGGACAACAGTTTGATTGAGAAAGATCAACAGACACAGGTTTAGTAAAAACCATCACTTCCTCTCTCTCTCTTCTTTCCCTGAAAGCAAACATGAAACCCTGTGATTGATGAGGTTCTTACTTGTACGCAGATGCTGATGAGGAAAGTTGATACCTTGACAAGATCCATCGAAGTGGAGTCCAAGAAGCTGAAGAGAGAAGCAGCTAGAGAAAAGGAAACTGGATCATCGAAGTTGGAACATAGCAGAAAGACAACTGCATCTCCAAACCCATACAGAAGGTATTGTCATTCAAACTACCCATGCAAAGATTCAGGAAATTTAACAGCCCGTTTTATGAATTCAACTAAGGCTTATTGCATTCTGACAATTTGGTCTGAAGCAGGTGATGCGAGGTTCTGCAGGCACGGGAGAAAGTAGAAAGTGCAGCAGAAATGAGTTCAAAAACTACACTACAAGTTCCTTCTGATTCTTGAATGTAAATATGAAGCTGATCTCTCCTGATTCTTAGCTGGATTTTCAGTATGGTTTGGTTTTCAGTTTGTGTACATTCAATAAATGAGACAGAAAGAGAAAAGCTGAAATATTGAGGAATGTGTAAACAAAGGTAGAGTTCATAGTTCCAACACTAAGGAAAGCTGTTGACATATGTACACATATGCATAATAAGTTTGCTTGCAACACATCTGTTCTAATGAGGTTCAATTGTCATAGTATAATCTTTTGTATTGAACTAAAGTTCTGCTTCAACAAAGACCAGCAATTCTACACTTCTACTAATCAAGCTAAAACCATGTCAAAGTTCAAGAACTCTTCTTTGACAAAAAAAAAAGGGGGGGGGGGGGGGGGGGGGCAAAAGAAGAAAAGGTTTGGAGCATTGTGAAAAAATTGCTCTGTAAACATATACACATCCCATATAGATTTGCTTTCAAAATACAGCTGATGAAGCAGTTATTATGTTAACTCTACCCATCTCAAAATATCTTCACCTCCGGGATGGTGGCTAAAGACGGCTGCCATTTCCTGCTATTGCATTCCTTATGACTCTGGGAGACTCTTATTCTGATCCCCTTGTTCTTCAATTCCTTAGCATTCTTAAGAAGCAGCTCCAGCTGTTGCCTTGTCAAAACTATCTTAACTTTACCCTGCTCCAGCTTTGCATCCTTGGTCAGCAAACGGGCATACTGGTGGTCGGCCACCTTGGAGCTTCGACAAACACCATGACAGATCTTCTTAACTGGCATTCGAATACTACTGGAATCTATGTCTTCTTTGTTGGAGATGAGAGCTTCACTCTTTTCTTCTTCTGAACAGCACAGGACATTCATGCAATTTCCCATGGTAGTAGAATGAAATGAATGATTGCTTTGTGTTTCAGTGATGATTGTGTTTCAGAAAGACTTGACAACACAACATTATAAGGGATGAAGAGGGTTGACTTGATTTCACGTTGGTGAACAACTTGACGTGCTACCCATGACCAAGTTTATTGTTTATTAGTTGTTAAATGTTTTGGAACCCCATTTTCGAGACATAAAGTCAAGAAGGTCTGTGCCACTCCCACGTTCATAAGCATAATTTCTCCCAAATAAAAAAGGGTTTTACTTTCAAACTCGGAAAGCCTTTTCTAATGCCTTCCCCAACAAATAAGTCAATGAAAAAGCCTTCTTTCAATAATGTAAGGAACAACTAAGAGACAACCATACAAAATGGAGTAGTCATGGAATCCACAAAACTGTTATAGCATCTCCAATTCCTTAGGATGTCAACTGGGTCATCATCATAGCAAACTCCAATTATAATCTGTATATATATAAATGCCGTCTCTCTAAAGGTACAAAAAGGGGGAAAAGAGCTCTACCTAGAGAGGTAAGGTAATCATGAACATACCAGTCGGGAATCGTAGCAACCGAGTGAGCTTTAGTGACGAATGCTAATGCCTAGACAGCAGCTACCACTTCAGCTTCTTTTCTGGCTTCCAACCAAGCTTCAGCAGCAACCTTGGTTGTTAAAAACCAACCAACTTTATCAGGAGCTTCATGAAACGGAGCATTCAGCTCATTCAAGTGAGACTCAAACACACTAGCTAACCCCTTGTCTGAGTACTTGTGCTTCCCATGCCCAGTATTTATTCCTAGTACTGGCGGTAGCACTTCTCCAGATTCCACTGCTTTGGTCAAGTCGTTTATCCAAACATGTAGTGCAGTTAGAGCTGCCCCAAGTGATAGACTCTTCAAGTATAGGGACCACTGAGTTGTGGACTTCGACTGTATGTCTGTATAGATCTCCAGCGTTAGTCCTAAGTCCAGCAACTCGCAAGCTCTCTCCAACGAGTTGAGATTCACACAGAGATCAATTAGGCAGTTGCAGTAAGCCTTTTTCACGTCAGCAGCAACCGAGGTAAAAAGCTCAGCTGCTTGCTCCTTGAAGTTACCCTCATGGTTATCTTGTACCAGAAGTTTGACCACAGAACCAAGCTTGGGGTTACCCTTCTCGACACATTCAACAAGCTTACCGAGCTCTTCCACTGGAGTTTGAGTAACCACATTCAGAAGGCACCCACAGAACCTGTCGTCTGGTGTAATTCCTAACTCGAGGAGACGGTTAAAGGTCTTGACGACATCATCAGTTTGCTGAGCTTTACCATAGCACTGGATCATTGAGGTTAGAACAAAAAGATTAGGCTCGAAACCAGCTTCCACCATTGCATTCAAAGCATTCTCTGCCTCAGACACTCTGCCACTGCATGAGAATATGGTGATTAAAGATGAGAATGTCCAACTATCGGGCTCCACTTTACAGCTCTTCATGTCCTCGAAAATCCTGGAAGCTTCATCGACATAACCAAGATCAGCACACATTGACAATAAAGTATTGTAGAGAACTACATTCAATTCCATGGATTTCTCCTTCATCTCTCTGTACACGACGAGAGCATCCTCTCCATATCGAGCTCTACCATAAGCACGCAGGAGAGCTGCATGGGTCGCAAATGTTGGGGTAAGTCCAGAATCGATCATCTCCTTGTAGATTATCTTGGCCTTCCAAGGTCTCTTGGCTCTACCCATGGCATCCAGCAAAGTATTCAAGGTAACCACGTTTGGTTTAACGCCAAGAGCCTTCATTTCCTCGTAAACATTCAAGCATCCATCATAGTTCCCGGAAATACCATAAATCTTGATCAATGTTGAAAATGTCACAGCATCAAGTCTCCACTTCTCTGCTCGAGCACGATCATACAAGTTCAAAGCTTTTTCCACATTGCCAGCTCGGCCATAAGCATCAATCATTGTGGAATAAGTAACATCATCCGGTGTAATCCCGAAGCTCGACATCTTCTCAAACCACTCCACTGCCTTCTCAGGCAAATTACACATCCTTGCACAGCTAATCACTGTCGAAAACGTGACATTATCCGGCTTCACCCCTCTCTGAAGCATTTCATCAAACAGTTCCTCGGCTTCACTCATCTTCCTACACTTCCTCAACACCTTCATCGTCACATTATACATAACCTCCTCCCGGTTGAACTTCAGCTTATCCCTAAAATACCTCATCGCAAGCAAAGCCGCTGCAGGGTTCGTCATGTTATTGACCACAACCACCGCATCCTGCTCCAACAAATTATGTCCTAGCCCATTCAAAACTCTCGAAACTTCCTCCACGCTCGCCTCGCACGAATTCAAATCCTCGGAGGCTTTAACGAGAGAAGAATACCTAGCATCGTATGACTTTCTGCGGAGCTCGGAAGCTTTGGCGCTTCTGGGATTCACCCAGACGTAGGATTTTGACGAAGTCCCAGCTGCTTTTCCAATTGGGTCCCTGACATTTTCCTCCTCCTTTGCGGATTGCTGCGGGACAGAGTCGCGTAGAGAGACATGGGTGGTGGTGAGCTGCAGGAGCGAAGAAGGCTTCAATTGAGGCGGGAAAGTTGGAAGCTTTGTGAAATAATAGGTTGAGGGCTTTGTTTTTGGGTCTCGGGACGGAGAAGAGAGCGAATTCCAGAGCGGTTGATAGAGCGAAGAAGACGAAGCGCAGAGATTATACGCCATTTCTGCTGCTGCTCTGTTTTCTCAGAGCTTTAGAGAGGAAGCGAACTAGAGAAGTATCTTATCAACTGAACTGGGGTTAATTGCAGTACATGCCATTTAAGTTTCAGTCTAGTTGCACGTAGACCACTTATATTTTATTAGTTGCAACTAAAGTATTTAAATCCAACTTTTGTTGCAACATTATCTTTTCCGTCTAAAACTTAACGGCGGGTATCAAAAAGTAATTTTTCCTGCCAGGTGGAAATCCAACTCAGCCTGAACTATTGAGTCAAAGCTGATGCTATACCAAAAGGAAAACAGAAAAAAAACCCTGCTCATCATAGAGCGAAGATGCTCAAACACTGCATTATCATTCTATGGATCTCATCACCCCCTCGGCCCCTTCTCCAACAACATATAATAGCAAAGAGGCACTGCATTGGATAAATTAATCAACCAACCCCAGTTCAAGTTGCGAGTAGAACAAGACAAGAATAAATCAAAAGGGGGAAAGAATTTCACTCCATTGAACTGTCTTTTACTTGGATCAGCTTTCCTGCATTGCTGCAGAGGAGTCGCCTACTGTGGCAATTCATCTCCCCGCCTACTGCTGCCAATATCCCTACTCTAATAGAGAGGCGAGATGATCAACTTCCAGGTGATCTGAGTTGCTCATCAGCAACCAGAATGTGCAGCTCTGCTCCAGAAACGAAGAACAAGATGAAGAACAAGGAGCAGAGCAAAACGTCACCGTTCAGTTTCAAGTACAGCCAGAAACGGTGGCGTTCTCCATCAACAAACCTTAATTCCGATTTAACTGTAGATAGGACACTTGTATAGCATTCATTGGTAGTTTCATTTGTTAGTTTCTTTTAGCCGTTAAAGTACAGTAGTTAGATTTAAACCTCTGTATATATATGGTTTTACATCAATGGAAAAAGGGCTCAGTGAGCATTTCCCCCAGATCTGAAACTTCTTCTCATGGTATCAGAGCCTGGTTGCTCTCAACCACTCTAGGGTTTCGTCCCCATTCTTCTCACCCCTTTACCCTCAAAATTTCTGAAAACAAACTAAAGGAATCATGGCTGAAGGAGCAGATTCAACAACTGGGAAATCTACCCAGAGCTCAGCTAGTTCATCCTACGAAGACCCTTACCTCAATCCCTACTATCTTTCGCCTCAAGATGGTGCACTGTCCACCATAATCTCTGTGAAGCTTGTAGATGGGAACTATCACACATGGAGTCAGGTGATGCTTGTTGCCTTAGCTACCAAGAACAAGGTAGCCTTCATCGATGGAACCATACCAGTACCCAAGGTAACAGAACCCTCTTACCAGTCATGGTTGCGTTGTAATGGTACTATTCGCTGCTGGATTTACAATTCCTTAGTTGAGGATATAGCGAATAGTGTCATGGGTTTGGAGAGTGCCCAGGCTGTTTGGGAAAATTTGAAGAACAGATTTAGCCAAGAGGACAATATTAGGGTTTATGATTTGAAGGGTCAGTTGGCTAAATGTGTTCAAGGAGAACAATCTATAAGTCAGTACTTCACCAACATTACTGTGTTGTGGGAGGAGTTGAAAAGGTATCGTCCCATACCTTGCTGTCCCTGCAATACCCCATATGAAACAATGAAGAAGTATGAGGATAATGACTTTGTCATTAAGTTTATGCAAGGATTGAATGAAAGTTATCAATCTTCCAAGACCCAAGTGCTCATGAACTCAACATTACCATCAATTGATGTTGTTTTCAAGCAATTCTTGCAACTGGAAAGACAGATGAAGAGTGCTCCCAAGTCTAGTGGAGTTGACTCAGTAGCATTGGCAGTTGGTTCATCACAGAATGTCAGACACAATGACAGAGATTACAAAGATGGCAAGAAGTTCTGTAGGTACTGTAAGAAGGATAATCACATCATTAGTGAATGCTACAGACTGAAAAACAAGAAAACAAGGGAATCTGGTGGCTCAAGCTTTGCTGGCTCAGTTGAAACAGGATCTGAATCTGACTCTGGTATTCTTGGAGCAGCATCTATGCAACAGGATGCACAAAACAAAAACAACTCCATTGGTCTAGCCAGCCTTCAACTAAGCAATGACCAGATGGACAAATTGAGGATCCTGCTGCTTGGTTCACCACAGTCATCTCCTTCCCCACCAGCATCACCATCTGTCAGACATGTGGCAAATGCAGCAGTGACTACTCAATCTCAAGCTGGCCAGCATCAATCAGGAGCCACACAGTATCACCCTGTTTATCTTCCCTCAAGTTCAGGTACCACAGTCCTCTCAACTCTTTTAGCTAGGACAGTGGAACCACCATGGGTTCTAGACACTGGTGCTACAGATCACATAATCTGTGATCTGAAGTATTTCTTGAAATGCAAGCCATTACAGGGAGTCTTTGTCAATTTACCAAATGGTAACAAGGTCCAGGCCACACACATAGGGATAATTAGACTTCCCTGTGGACTATTTCTTTCTCAAGTCCTCTTTGTTCCAAGTTTCAGTTACAATCTTGTATCTGTTAGTAAACTCACCAAAACAAACCCAGTCTCACTTCTTTTTAAATCCTCTTTCTGTGTCATCCAGGACCTTATTACACAGAGAAGGATTGGTTTAGTCCAGGTGGATAAAGGACTATACCTGTTCAATGAGATCCAAACCATTTCTCAAGACTGCCACTCATCCAATCCAAAGTGTTTTGCTGCTTCACAACTCAATTTTCAGCCCCAAAATTTTGATCTCTGGCATGCCAGATAGGGATGGCAATGGGCCGGGTCGGGGACGGATAGTGTATATCCGTTACCCTACCCAAAGTAGTTCGGGTTTTACCCATACCCATACCCACATAAGAAACGGGTAGAAAATTCAAACCATGCCCATACCCGTTCGGGTTTCGGGTATCCCCGGTTATCCATGGGTAATAGTTTCTCTTTATAACTCTAACCAATATGTTAATATTCACACGTATTCTCACGTTATGTAAGTCGAAAAGTACGACAATAATTCACTAGAATGAAAAAAAATTAATTAAAACATTACAATTTCATAAAAATATTATATTTATATGCTAAATATAAAATATTATAGAGAAAAAATTAATTATTTCTAGACAAAATACATATATATGTGTATAATCGGGCGGGTTCGGGTTGGATAGTGAGAAAACCATGCCCACTCATTACCCATAATATTCGGGTTTGGGTTTTACCCATACCCACTAAAAATCATTCGGGTTCGGATTTTACCCTACCCAATTAAGTCGGATTCGGGCGGATATCCACGGTTACGGATATTATTGCCATCCCTAATGCCAGATTAGGTCATCCATACATTTCCAGATTAGAGACTATACACAAATAATGTCCAGATGTATTAGTTTCTAAGATTGTTCACTGTGATGTTTGTCATTTGTCAAAACAGAAGAGATCTCCCTTTCCAGTTAGTACATCAGTACATTCCTCTTTGTTTGGTTTACTTCATGTAGGCATTTGGGGGCCTTTGAGCACCACTTCTTACAATGGTTTCAACTATTTCTTAACCATAGTTGATGATTTCAGTAGATGTGTGTGGACCTATTTGATGAAATCTAAGGATGAATCTAGAAGTTTGTTACAATCTTTCTGTGTCATGGTGAAAAACCAATTCAACAAACCTATTCAGTTCATCAGAACAGACCAGAGCATGGAATTTCACATGGATGAGTTCTATAGAACTCATGGGATTGAACACCAAATGAGTGTGGTATACACTCCACAGCAGAATGGCAGGGTTGAAAGGAAGCACCAACATCTGCTTAATGTTGCTAGAGCACTTAAATTTCAGTCTGGCCTTCCTCTTACCTATTGGAGTGATTTTATACTCCATGCTGCCTATCTAATCAACAGAATCCCTACACCAATTCTGAACAATCTAAGTCCTTATGAGAAACTCTATGGTGTTCCACCAGACTATAGCAGCTTGAAAGTCTTTGGTTGCTTAGTCTATGCTTCCACAGCTGGTCCACATAGAACTAAATTCTCACCCAGAGCCAAGCAGTGTGTTTTCCTTGGCATACCTGCTGGGATCAAAGGTTTCAAACTCCTTGACATTGACACCAAAAGGGTGTTTTGCTCCAGAGATGTTATTTTCCATGAAAGTATCTTACCATATGCCAATCACAGTTCTTCTTCTTCTTCACCACCATCACCTACTACAACTCCATCACCAACTTTTTCCTTCTTTCCCACACCTTCCTCCATTCCAAACCCTCATCCATCTGATTCTTCTTCTTCTTCAGATGTTCCAATTCCTGTGAATCCTCAGTCTGAAGGGGGCACACAGCCTCCATCTCCCTCTCCTAAATCACCAATTCCCTTTACTATTCCCTCAAGTCCATCTTCCTCTCACCAAATTTCTCACCATATTTCTCTTTCTCTTCACCTCAAACTCATCCTGATGATTCACAAAACACACCCTCTTCTTCCCCCTCTACTTTACCTACATCCTCACCATTCTCTCCTGTCCCATTAAACAGTCCTGCTCACTCTCCATCCCATGCTCAACTGAGGAGATTGACCAGGACTGTCAAACCACCCAACTGGCATGCAGACTATCATGTCACTCACCCTATTCATAGAGCTCTTTCATACACTCACCTATTACCAAAGCATCAACACTTCATAAACAGTCTGACCTCACACAAAGAACCATCTTCTTACCAAGAAGCAATGCAGAACCCTTATTGGGATAAGGCAGTTCAGGAAGAGTTGAAAGCCCTGATTGATAATGGAACATGGGAAATCAAGGATTTGCCAGTTGGCAAGAAGGCAATAGGCTGCAAATGGGTTTTCAGGGTGAAGCTTCACTCTGATGGATCAATTGAAAGATATAAGGCAAGGCTGGTTGCCAAAGGATATACCCAGGTTTATGGCATTGATTACTGTGATACTTTCTCACCAGTAGGTAAGTTGAGTTCAGTTAAAACCCTACTTGCAGTTGCAGCAGTGCAGAATTGGCACTTACATCAGATGGATGTAAGCAATGCCTTCTTGAATGGTGACCTAACAGAAGAAGTATACATGGAAATACCTGATGGTTTGAATTTG